CAAGGGCTTGGGTTCGAGAGTTAGATATGCATTCTTACCCCGCATGCTCAGCATATCAAGGTTGTGCAGTAAGAATGACAGAGGCTTGGTAGTCGAGATTGAGATATGCATAAATTCACAGGGTTATACTTCATCTATACTTACATTGCGTCTCAATGCTCCCAGCATTCCACCAGCAAGAAGAACAAGACAGAGATCCATCAGAAGACTTTTCACGAGACGGAACTGCTTAATCAGTATTGTACATTTATTGCCACCTGGAGATAGCATTGTTTGAAATTTCTATGCTACCTGTAGTTTGTATTGTTAATCAGTTGAAGACCTTATTGCTATTGTACATTTATTGCCACCTGCCTGGAGATAGTATTGTTTGAAATTTCTATGCTACCGAAATTAATTAATGACTGTAATCTTACGCTAGAAGATGATCAAAAAAAAAAAATTCAGATTTTGATTCCTTAGACTTAGAAAAGCTAATTGATGATTGTAATTTTACGCAAGAAGCCCATATTAAAAAGAAAAAAAACAACAGAACAGTCAGTCTAGCAATCCCGGTATCTTGGGGGGGGTTTAACTACTATTATTCAATCTCGAACCATATCTTGCAACCTCGACTGAATGCTCTGTGTTTGACCAGTGAACCCATGTATGGAAAATGTGAATCAAATTCACAAATCACGTTTTTGACGCTGAACGACAGAGTCCTGAAAGAGTAATATGAGAGCTGGGAACTGCTTTTTGGGCTGGGAAATGGGATTTTATGCACTGGGAATGGGATTTATAAGCGAATAAAAGAACAATCAAAAAATGGGATTGAGATTTGAGCACAACATATGCTAGGACTATGGGATTTGGTCAAAATGGGGACTAGGAAATAGGATTAAGACTCCAACTTCAGGACGCTCATATCAGTTTAAACGGTTTCTTGCATGTTTGCTCGTGACCATACTGAGTGGCTTTGGTTGGTGTAGTTGCACTGTCATTCCTAAAAACTTACTTTTCAATTAATTCATTTGTCAATTATTTATTTTTAAACTTTTTTGGGGGTCAATATTTAACAATTATTTTCTGAACGCACGCGAAGTGATTGTCAGTGGAATATTTACCGAGCTGCAAGTCTTCGAGCCCCATAATCACTGAGCCTGAGAGGAATAATTGTTTTAGTATATTTTTAGACTTGGATATCAGAGAAAAGTCGAAATTCATGGGATAAAAAAACGTTTTAGTATTACTTCCACTCTGTCAAACTTTGGAAAACCTCATAATCCCCGTTTGAGCAGTGATTATCGTCTCAGAATCACAGGTCGCTTGACCAATTACAGCGAGCGAAACTCTATGTTCAAGTCTAAAATTATACTAAAAGCTTATATTTATGCAAATATAATGGAAAATCGGGCGATTTACACTACCATCAATCAGAGTCTATTGAGCAATTTTCCTGTCGCAACTGTACGGTTGTCAGTTCGTGGCAATGAAAAACGTGGTACAATGTAAGTAATATTGCATTGCGTTTACTTGGCTAACCTACATTATACATTTGTATGTTTTGTTTTGTAGGAGGATTTTAAAGTGATTTAAAGTGTTTTTAAATCAGCACGTTGCGAGAATGATCCGGAAGTGGATCATTACAGTCGTTAGATAATTTTACGAACGCAAGGAGGCAGGGATGGCCGAATATATTTTTTATCCTCTATCATGGGTAGAGGAGAGGTCCCCCCTCATGGACCTTTCTCACGATGATTTTTTTTGAAGATTTGGACTCGGGAGAGGCTAGGTTGATCAATGATTGGCTATGGGCCTTACTCACGTGGAAGCCTTGTTGACTTGAACAATAGGTTTCCCCACGTAGCCTCCTATTCAAGCGTTTCAGAATGTGGCTAACGCGGATTAAAACAAAGGTTAATATTTTCATGTAAAATATTGCAGTTTTCGTATGACTGTGAAAAGTTCAGTGCCGTAAGCGTGACGTGTCGTGACCGTGATACTTTCTAGAATTTTAATTGGCTGATTTTTTTCACGCGCAATATGATTGGTCTAAAAGTGCCGTGATCTTGGCGTGACCATGTCCGCGCCGTGTTTATGCCGTGTTCTGGGTATTTGATTGGATGGAGAGTAAATTCTCGTGCAATGTGATTTGTCTGGCGTATCCCTTGCTGTGTCACGACCGTGTTCTTGCCGTGAACTTTTTACAGTCATACGAAAACTGCACTAAGCATGGCACCGTGTGATCGTATCACGCTAGTACAGTAAGTGCCTTTTTCTAAGAAAACGAAAAAAAACCCAAGATATAACGTTAAAAACCAAAGACACTTGACATTCTCACTGCTGCTTTCCACGGTTAGTGAACACCAGGAAGATGAAAGCAAACACTCGATAGGCGATACCAAAAGCGAACATCACCCCGATACAGGTCCAGTAGTTATCCAGAGAATAACCATTCTGATTGGCCAATCCCTGAACAAAAGAATCCATGACGCGAGGAAAACGAATGGCTTCTTTCTCGAAAAGCGCCTCCACATACCAGCGGCAAAAAGACAGGTTGTAGAGAAGAGGACCAATGAAGGTGTACTTGTTCATATCACAGAGGGATGGAGACAGACCTGGCGGCATGGGGAATAATGAGGTCAGTAGATGATACATTTTACAATGATATTTTTGATTTATTTAAAAAAGATTTCTGCATAGAGTTTGGTAGCGTTGATAGCAATGCAATAAAAAAGGAGATAGATGAGTTGGTGTAATGGAAAACTACTCTATATAGATTCTATGAGATAGAAAGGAACGAATGAAAGAAGGAAAGAACGAGCGAAAGGAAGTTAAGTACTGTATATATAAAAGTTTTGTTGTGAGAGGGAGGAAGGAAGGAAGGAAGGAA